TTATACAAAGTTTACCCTTTACTTTAAGTTTATTGATTTGAATCAGACAAGTCACCGGGGTCTCTCCTACACTGACTGACAGCTAATGCATCAATGACTGACAACCACTGGAGTCCATCAGCATGTTGGAGCTACAGTCAATGACCAAAGAGATGAAATTCCCCAGACCCGAAGGGGTATTGACGTGAAGACTGGGCCTTTTTGGGAGACATTGTTAGCCACCCACCAAACACTGACTTGACTCCATAAATATCTTGCAGTTTTTTTCCACTTGCTGTATGTGCAGTGGCCACACATAATCTCTGTATTATGCATTCAGAAGTTGCCCTCTTGCTCCAGAGTTGCACATAACAGCACTGACTGCAGCTGCCCGAGGGACGTCAAGACAAGCAGCCCTCCTGCCAGGCGGCCTTGCTGACTGACTGACTGACTGTCTCTCTGATTGTCTGACTGACTGCTAGCTAAACGGAAGGTCACTGATCTACCATGCATCTCCACAGGCTTTCCTGCCCAGCCAACCTGAATAATTTATGTGGCAGATTTTTAGGAGATCTGAGGGAATGGCCATGTGAAATTACCTTACATTGATCCTGTAAGTTGAGAGAAGGAGAGGGGGTGGGGGGGGGGGGTGATAGATGAAAGAGGGTTGAAGGATGAGAAGCCCTGAGGAGAGAAGCTTCATGTGTTTACTGGCTTGATTCAGACATCAATAACAACTTGATTACCAGTTTTGACAAATAATACAGATTTACTAGATATACCACTCCACTTTTTCCAAAGCTGCCTTATTTTTATTGATTGGATTTTTCAAACTGATTTCACCAATTTCCATGAAACAAAGCAGATCTGATTTTCTTAAGAACAACTTTAAAAAACGGTCTTGAATCTCTTATACGAACTCAAACATTATGAGTTATATAGAGGTAATAATTGGTGTCTGGCTGCAAAGGGAAAAGGGTTTCCCATCCGGAACAGTGATTTATTCATTGTGGGAGCCGCGTCTCCCCAGCCAATCTCACAGATCTCTTTGTGGGGAAATTTAGAGCCTTTCAGTTGAGCTCTGGAGTACAGAGGTGGAATTTAAGGGAGCTTAGGTCCCACATTATTCTGGAGTAATCACATTATCTATATACTCTTCCTCTGACCCACACAGAACCCCCCTTCCCTCGACACATCTCTCACATCCCGTTAAATCCAATTTGGTTTTAATGCCCTGCCCATAACTAAATCAACAAACATCGTCCAAGTGTGCTGTATGTTTTCTCACTTTATAACTCTCCTTGAAGAGGTCACGGTTGCTGGCTGGAGTTCAGAATGAGCAAGTTTTATTAGACATTGATTAGTTCCCTTTAAAGGGATCCTTTGCATTTTGGCACATGCCTGCTGTGTGTTAACAGGACTGCTCCATCACAAGACAGCAGTTTGTAATCTTGTGACCTCTGTGTGTGTGTGTGTGTGTGTGTGTGTGTGTGTGTGTGTGTGTGTGTGTGTGTGTGTGTGTGTGTGTGGCTGCTGACTTTGAGACAGAAAATCCATTTAAGCTAATTGTTCTTGTGCTTGAGCGGGTGAGGTTTGAGTCCTAAGACCCAGAACTGAGTTACGCTGATGCGTTGAACAAGAAACTGTATTGTTTCCACCGGCTATTGCCTCACATCCTTCTTTACTGACATATTTTTTAACCGTGAATTCCTAGTTGTCCTTGTGATCTGATTCCTAAATGTACTGTAAGCTAGCTGCATCTCAGTTGTATCTACTGTGTTGTAAGGTGCTTCCAGACTGACACCAAAAATCATGCAGTGAGACAAAAATATCAAGCATGTTTGAAACTGATCTGGAGATTGCAGACAAGGTAATGAGCTGAGAAACAGAGGGGTGCCAACCTTCATACAGCAGGGTGATGACAAGGCCTTGCTGACATGTGTTTATTATGAGAACTAATCTGGAACACATCTGGAACTAATCACGCCTAATATTTATTTTGCACTAGTATAAGCTACATAAATGAATGTTTCAGAATCCTGGGATCAATCGTAAAACACATTCAGAAAAAACGCTGGGATGTCATTGTTAGACCGTTCTATGTTCATCGATCAGCTACCCTTCATGTACACTTTCTGTGTTTGTTTCTGTTGGGAGGCTCTCCACGGACCACACCTGCAAGGCAATGGTTCGGGGACACATGGAGACAGCCAATAGCCCAGAAGGCTACTTTTTAGGTAGCCTTGCTAACTTGTTTGCTGGTACATTAAAATAATGTAATGCTAAAAACAACAGTGAAGAAGCACAAAGCTGTAACACAGATGTTCGTGGAAAACTAGTAAAAGTTTGTACAGCAAAGGAAGACACGCAGGAAAGCTCAGCCTGCTGAAATGTGTCCATTGTAACATTTAACAAATAAATACATATCTTTGATAACATCTTAAGCCTGCACAGGCAAGGAAACATGCTATATAACCCCGTTGGTCATGTGACCCTCCCCTGCAGTTAGTGCTCTGTGTTGGTTTTAGTCAGGGTTCCCACTTGTCCTGGAAAACCTGTACATTTAGAGACTAGTTTTCCAGTCATGGAAACACCTGGAATTTGATTACAATTTCTGTAAAAAAAGATACATTTTACTTGATTGGAATCGTTACTTATGGGCTGTGGCCATAATGGTATGGTGAGAGGAAAACAGTTGTAAACGTTGTCCCACATAAAACGCTGACCACCTACCTGTAATAAACCTGAGACACTTAATCATGAACCTTGGATCATTAAAAAAATAAGTAAATACTACGCTACTAGGCAAGTGCTGTCTTGTATTGTTAATAAAAACTCCTGGAAAATGATTTCTTTAAAAGAGTGGGAACCCTGGTTAATCTGTTACAAGGTAGAAATTGTTGATAGTTGACAACATTAAGGAACTTGGAGAAAAGTTCCTCCTTTGGAGTAACACATCTAGCAAAGCTATTTCCACCGTAAATCTTCCGCTCAGAGCAAACATTGCCCTCTATCACAGTGAATGAAAAGCGTCAAGTATGTTTGCAAATTAATCTGGACGTCCCAGACAAGGCTCTGAACTCAGGAACAGAGTGGACACCAACCATGTGTTTATTATGAAAATTCATCTGGAAAACATCTGGAACTAATCACATTGTACAGCGGGTACCCTGCTTGGCCCAATATTAATTTTGTACTAATATCACCAGCGAATATTTAAAGCTGATTTTCATTGTTAGATTTGATAAGTGCTGATTTTATGTCTGGCATCAATCCAAAACCAAACTGCTGGGATGTCATTGCTGGACCACTCTACGTTTGTATCGATCCATCAGAGCATGTTCACACAAAGTCCTGCTTTCAAATGCAGCATCTAAACAGCTATCAGCTACGCTTCCTGTAGGCGTTCTGTGTCTTTGTTTGTGTTTGTGTGTTGGGAGGAAATGAGATGTGATCATGTATTTACCTCCCTCTAACTTGTCTATGAGCTCTGCTTTAGCTGTGAAATCAATTCCATTCCACACACCCCGACCTCCAAATGAAAATACCCTCTAGCCCACCACTGCATCCCCTGACTCTTTAAAGGAGTTTTCATATCTGTGCTGTCTTGCCTCATCCCCCCCTCCATGAAGATAAACAAAGAGAGGGAAGTGGCAGGGAACTTAGTGAAGGTGGATACTGGAATCTTTCGCAGAACTCGGCGGTCACAAGAGCGTTATGAATGTTTAATGAGAGATGTTAGCGCGCCAAGGAGAGGAAATGTGCTGAAAACATGATTATGGGCTCATGGGGAGGAAACCGTTGGTGGAGAGAGAAAAAGAGAGATATCAAGCAGGGTAGCAAGGATAAAAGAATTGTTTTGAAGGGCAGAGGAGGTAAAGAGGGATAACGTTTTTATTTTTTTTAAGCTTGGACCGCTTAAGGCAAAGGCATTTTTCCACTTCTTAACCGAACCGAGTTCTGACCAGATGTGCTCACAGAGCCAGAGAGTATGAGGGCAAACACTGTGTGTGCTGTACTTTATAACAGCTTTAGATTAACACCATTTTGTGTGACAGTAACAGTTTTTCTGCCAAGCAAAAGTAAAGCAGCACAGGAATCTTCAGTCAAGGATGTCAAGATAGAGTCAATGGCTTGCCTTGTTTAAGGACAATAAGGGGGAGTGCGATAGTGTGAGAGAGCAACCTTTTAGTGGAGAAAGCTGTTTAATCTTGCACTCCTTAAGCAGAATAAAGCCTTTGTCTCCTGCTGTTGTTTCACATTATCTGTTAGTCTTAAATTTGATACACTTTGAGATTAAGGTCCAGATAAATCACTCTGCCTGTAGCTGTCCATGTGTGTGTACATTGGGATTCACATTTAGCCACCCTGTGAAGGTTGTTGCCATTCTGCTCGCTGTCACTTGCACCATTGCAGCAGAGATTGAAACATAAGAGGGGGAAATGTGGAAAAGTTGTAAATGCTGCTCTGTTCAACATGACATAAAGTGGTGGCCATGGACCTGATGGTCTTTTGAGTGTACTATTTCTTTTGCTGCTTTTATCTACCAGGTCCTCTTCAGATGCCACCATGTTGAACTGTTTGTAGCCCAGAGCTGACAAACCAAACGCTGGCTCTATATAGGGCCTTTCGCATTTTTCATTATAGCAGCATGAGAGCTTGCACGGCCAACATAGTTCCTCTTACACTTGGCATATCGACCTTAACTCTCTGCAAAAAAAGCAAATAATTGTAATTTCCCAAATTCCAAGGTATTCTGAGTGAGTTTTTGAGTGGTGACCAGGACATGTTCAATAATAAATATTTCAATTTTCACCTTTTGCATAAATTTCCGCTGATAACAAAAACTTTTCGCATCCATCATCATGTTTTATTAATGAGTCATTTTCCCTTGTTTTGGCAGTCTTAACAGACAGACATCAGCTCTAAATCATTAGATTAACAAGGCTCTTTTCTCTTGTCAAAACAACACTTTAAAACTCATCTCTTCCTCTCTCTTTCCCCATCTCTCTTTATCACAGCATTGATATCAGCCGGCTGCTGCACCAACAACTGTAGAAATGTCAAGCTATGGGACAGGTAAGAACCACTCTCCACCTTCTTTCTTTTACATAAATCTCTTTTCTGTTAATTAGAGTCTTTGAGAGGAAAAGAACAACCAATGACGGTCACTGTGTGTTCTTTCCATGAGGACCCATAATCCAGTAATTAGCTCCCATTATTCTATTTTACCATACAGTGTGCTTTACTTAGCTGGAGTCTTGAAACATATTTACATTTAACAGTTGGCTTGGAGGGTGTTTGTGATTGAAAAAAGAATGACAATTAGAAATCTCTCTAATCATTAGTTGATCAGCATAACATCTGAATTATATTCTGTTGTGATGCTGTGTCATTGCAGGGTCGCTCCTTGAGTTAGTCCTGTGTACGGGCTCCAGATGAGTAATGTGTTTGCATGCTTGTTCTTGCCCAGGTGTAATCACAGTGGGTTTACAATGGGGCTACAGAGTTAGAGGTGACCCTATCCTGTCCCCAAGTGTATCCTACATCTTCAATCAGGCCTCAGTGGGAGGTCGAGATGGCTCTGTTAATATTTAATGACTGCAAGACAAGACACACCTCCCCCTACTGGATAGTCCCCGCCCCCCCAGCCAGAACCCACGCACACACAACCGCATATAATCATAGGCATAATTCATACACATTCTCATGGTTGTTCTACCATACATGGTGACCTTTACTACTTGTGGATTAAAGCTTCCTTCTTTTCTTCCACATTAGTCGTTTCAATTCACTATTCCTTCTATGCATGTGCACCAGTGATTCAGGTGAAGTAAAGAAGAAAGTGTACTTTATGTCAGTAGATGATTTGCAAGCTCAGAGAAAAGCAACAAGGATGTGCTAACAATGCAGACTGAAGTCAGGTCCCCTGGCTCTCTGCTGTGGTGGAGACAGACGCAGGCAGGAACAAAAGGATCTGTCACTGATAAGCAACACAAAAGCCTGCAGTGATGAACATCTTACTCAGTCAAACTCTCAAAATCTAATCTATCTATCTATCTATCTATCTATCTATCTATCTATCTATCTATCTATCTATCTATCTATCTATCTATCTATCTATCTATCTATCTATCTATCTGGTTAATAATATTCTGGATAGGCCTATTATCTGGATAATTTTCAGATTCTGGAATAATCCCCTTGGCTTGAGCATCTAGACCAGAATCCATTTATTAACAACCTATTAACATTCACAACTGCAGACTTGACAGAATATTGTAAGAACCGTAAGAAAGATTACCTTCAAGGTTAAATTCCGTATTTGTGTTGGTATGAGAGGCTGCTGCTTCAGTTTTAGTGTCCTGGTGTTGTGCATGCTGGCTCACTGTCACACTGTCATGGCTTACTGGGGCACTCGAATATAGCGGTGACATTGTTAATGTTATTAGTAACACCTGTGCTTTTCCCACTATGACACGTCAAGATGACTGCTGTGAAATAGAGAATTATGGTGGAATTTTATCTGTTTGTATTGCTAATGGTTGAGTATTCATCACCATGAAATTGAGTAATGCTCTTTTGGAAATGCATTGCCACGCAGAATGTTAGTGGTGCTTACTTTGCAAGCAATTATTCATTCAAAATAGGTTCATTTAATATCACTATTACACATCAAACAACTCATGAAATACATATGTTCATGTAACACAAAGAAATATTATAATATAATATAATATTTTTCCATCATTTTATTGTTCAAGTTGCTATATAATCATTTTGTAAATTAAGTTGTAAGCATATATAAGGGTGTATTTATGTATTTGGCAACAACTGTTACTGCTCCTGTGGGCACCTAGAAGTGGTTGCTGGTGTATAAAAAGAACATGGATGACAATATAGTAGAACACTTGTTTATCTAGCCTACTGTTATAAATGCTAAATGGGTTGCCTAAAGGGTTAAAATCAAGCCTTACCAATTTTTGCTGTAACTGAAGAACAGTGAGAGAGCTCAGAGGCACAAATCTAACCAAGGAGCACCTTGGGAAATGCAGTTTGTGACGACTGACTGACTTGCCTTCTCACCAACTGCAGAATTCATAGTTTAATATAAAGTTAAACCAATTATAATGATGTACATTCATAAAGGATCTCAATTCTATCTACACCTAAGTAATTAGTAAACAATTTTATTGACCATTAAGCCATTAGTTGTTTTTGCACCTTCTTCATAATTTTATAGTTTTTAACTTGTTCAATTATGTGGAACATCCTTTATTCTCAAGATGCTAAAAGGTATGCTTTAAAAATTTGAACTACAACGAAATGTATTCAACTTTTTGTGAATGAATAAAGACTAAACAATTGTGTGAAAGACGGACAAATGGACAAATTAACTAATTAGCCGATAATGTCAATGGCCAACCGGATGTTTGCTCAAGAAATATTATATTATACATTTGTTACATTTGGTCTTTCCGGTTTATCAAATCAGTCAAGGATCAATAATGCCCCACAAAAGTTATACTGTGATAATGATGAGATCTCTTCTTCTTGTTCTTCTTCTATTCCTGTGCAGCTTTGATGCCTCCTCTTGACCCCTACTTGACCAGCTAGGCTCCTCAAACGGAGGGGTGGTCGCAGTGGTACAGCCCTCCTGCATCTCTGGCCTTGACAGACATGAGGGCCCCCGGACGCCACCCTCCGTAGCTCCAGATGGAGCCTCATCCGTGTCCAAAGCCCTGAAACAGCCTGCCTCCATGTTTTCATTTCTACATATTGAGAGTTTGAGAGAAGGGGTGGGAGTTTTCGGGGAGAATGCTATTAGTAAGGATGGGAAAACTTGTGAAGACTGCCACAGCTAAATGGATTAGAGTGGGTATCTCTCCCTGCCAACTGTGACACGGCTACCTCCCGGAGAGCACCCAGAGGAAGGGAGGGACGCCGGGGAGGATAGGATTCTGCACTGTTTGTGCCGCTGTCCTCTGTTTACAAATGCAGATCATTGGTGGAGAAGCACATAAAGTAAACTTTCTACACCCCGCTGTTCTTAATTATTTTCCCACACTCTTCCCTCGATCTCTTTCTCCTATTTCCCTCCCTGTTTTTCCACTCTCTCCCCCGTCTCCTTCATCTTCAGATATCCATCCTCTCCAACGTGTGTAATGAGACTGGTGTAATCTAATGTTCTGTCTCTCGGTCTCCAAATCCAGCCGATCACAAGATTGCCATCGTCTTCAACTTTTTCAGCCATTTTCAAGAGAATTTAAAAACAAAACAAAAAACATATTTGTCAAAGATGTTCTAGCAAAGAAAAAAACAACAACCTCTTCCTGTGTCTTAAACCAACATGGTCACCATTACTAGCTGCTGACAGATGTTCTAGTTCTATAAGATGCAATGTTCAGGTGTAATTTTTCTTTTTTGTATTATCTTCTTGCTCCCTTAAAGCGCCTATATTGAAGCTGGGGATAAGATTATACGTTTCTCCATGTTGTTTTTTACAAGGAAGTAAAGTCCAAGTAAAAAGTAGTTTATTGGATTAGTTTTCTATATATCTATATATAAATATAATATGATTATTATTTTTGACTTACTGGTATTAGAACTATTATATGAAGATGCATATGATATATATCAAATAATAAACAGAATTCTTTATGTAAAAGTGCACCACTCGTTCAGGTTTTATTTCAGTGTGCTGAAATTACTCGGAGGTGGGCATGTGCTGACCTTTGACCCTGCAGTCACAAAGGTCACATTGGAAACACTATGAAGCTGATTATGAGGTTAGGAAAAAGATCTATAAGTCACATTCAGCAGCAGCGACAAAAAAGGATCAGAGTATCTCCTTTGTTTGTGTGGTAAAGAATAGACCAAGAAAATTATAGTCAAAGTCTAGCACACACCTCCTGACACATGTTAAACATGATACCATAACATGTTGTCATGTCTCATCCTGCCAGATTGGAGACAATAGGGTCAAACTGGAAAGAATTTCCTGTTAAGTCATTGGAACTGAAACATCCAGTTCTCCTTCCTCTGCACCCATCACCTTCCCTCACATCCAGGCCAACAGGCTCAGCTCGGCTGTGATATAACATCGACTGCAATACTAAAAATTTCCAACACCATTGCGTGCGTGTTTAGGATTTTGTTAAAAGATAAAGCTGACGGTGTTGTTCTATATTTCTTATCATTAACAAATCCCATGAAAAGACCAAAACCAACAATGTGTTAGTCCATCTCTTTACTTTCCACTCCTGTCTGTACCCCGAAACCTATTTCAATCAGGAGGGAATTCATTGAAAGACAGATTTAATTTATTTCATATGTGCTCATAATAAAAATAAATGTAAGAATATGAGGAGTCTTTGGTGATTTGACCTATTTAAAGGGGTAGAGGTGTCACATGTTGTACAGAGTAACCCCCTGATGGATCCTTGACACAGGTGGTGGATGGATGTGATGTGGAGCAGGACTTCTGATGAGCACTGCGGAAGGACCAATGGGTGCTGAATGCGATGAGGTGAAATGGGTGGAGCACATTGACTTCTGACTGAAATGACAGACAGGAACAGTTTAAAACGTTGACAGCAACAAAGTGATTGGCTCACAGAGGTGGTGGCAAAATATGATGATGGGTTTAGGTGAATGAGTTAAACATCCAGGGTCAGCTGACTGAGTCGGAGGGAAAAGAGAGAGACAGAGAGGGGCAGAGAATGTAAATAATGACCAATGTTCCAACTGAATATATACTGTAAATCTTAAAAACAGGTCACAAATATAATAGTTTAATAGAAAAAAGTAAATAAGAAAATCAAGTACATTTGTTGGGAACTATTCTCAGCTGCAGATTAATACACATTTGGTAATCTTGTGAGAACAGCAGGACGGTGTGTGTAGGTCGGACTCAAGTAAATTGAAAATATTTATCATAATTAAGGGATATGTTACCCAAACTATAGGCTATACTTGCTGGCAGAATCAATTCATTGTAAGTGTTCAGTCTTTTTTGTGGGGAAAATATATATATATATCACCAGACTTCTGCTTTAATATTATTATTGAGATTAGGCTCTAGTTTTTATGGGTAAGGTTAGGTATATGGGTATGCCCCCAGGAAATAAATGAAAATCAGTACAAGGTCATCACAAATACCAATGTGTATTAGCTTGCTCTTCGTTGAAGTATTACCAGTACACTCATAGTACAAATCAAAGCAAGCTGAGGCTGACCTTGTTTGATCTGATTGCTCAGAGTGATTAGGGTTTACTTATTTGCTTTAGAAAATCTCTTTAATGAGAGTCTATGCTGTGCTAGTATTTAAGTCAGATGCCTTGGCACTGCTGTTATATATTGTCCACCTATGGGATGCCCTGCTGCAGCATCTGGGGGATCCAGTGGCTGATAGGACTGTGTGATCGCCTTATCTGTACAGTTGTAAAGTAACTGTAAAAACACTGACAGCTCTCTATTTATGTGATAAGAAGTTGTTAGATGCTGAGAAAAGGGAAAGTTTATATTTTCAATGCTGTTGTTGCACATTATATACAGTAATCAGAAAGGAACCGGTGCATTATTTTAGTGTGTATAACTGTTTGTGTGTGTATAGTGTTATAAATGTCCCTCTGTGTGTTTTGACTATTTAATTTAATGGGTGTGGAGTTACTTCACTAATGCAGTCAGTGTGTGTGTGTGCGTGTGTGTGTGTAAATCTACAAACATTCTCTGTCTACACGTGTGCACTTGTGAAAGGGTTGTGGAAGTAATGTGTGTGAGCATGTGCTGTTCAATATGCAGAGTCATGTGGGTGGTGTGTGCATTTGAGCCAGCCAGACAGCGGCAGGTTGATTAAGACACATCCTTCTTATCCACCATGACAAAGTGTGTGTGTGTGTGTGTGTGTGTGTGTGTGTGTGTGTGTGTGTGTGTGTGTGTGTGTGTGTGTGTGTGTGTGCGTGTGTTTATATTGATTTGTGTGCATCTGTGCACATTTAGCTGTTGGTATTTATGTACAGTAAGTGTGTTTGTGTGTGTGAAAAGTGTGTTGCTGAGCTGCAGTTTATGTGTTTGAGTGTGTTGTGTGTGTGTGTGTGTGTGTGTGTGTGAGAGAGAGAGAGAGAGTGAGAGCATGCAGCGCCACTGATCTGCTCTGCTGCATTGCAGCATGTCCTGCCCATCCCGAGGTCGCCGTCGTCCTCCGCCAGGGCACTCTTCCAAGGTCGCAGCAGGTCAATCCTCCCCATCTGCATACCCGGCCGATGCAAGGGTAAATCTATAAACACCACACCAAATCTGTCAGCTGTTAGAGCAATGAGACACCAGTAAGAACCAGAGCCGGAGATAACCATACTCAGGCTGCACAGTCACAATAATCTATCAACGCGGAGATCAGACATGTAATCTACCCAGATGACCGGTCGATCAACCGAGAAAACCCATCAACACAAGATGAACTACTGAAGCACACACATTCTACATGCAAATGTAGCATGCTGCTGAAGTCTGACATGATGACACTGATTTGGTAGCTGTGAATCTGGAGGAATTTACTGTCAATCTATGGGAGTCGTCAACAAGCATGTGGAGCTCAGGATTTCTGGCCAAAAATGTCATATTACTAATTCACCATGAAACAAGGATATTATTGCTGCATATGTTATCATCTGAGATAACATTTAAAGAAAATGGAAATAAAGACTATTCTGTGCTTTGAAAAGTACAGTCTAAAACAAAAACAGACACACAAACCTTAGTAAATGCATGGTGTAATGCTGTAAAGTTCAAGGGCAATATCAAACAAATATAATATTGTCTTCTGCTGCATGGATACAAATAATTATACAGTCTAAGCACAGAAGCCCCGAGAGCTCCCAAACATAACATTTTTGCGGAGAAAAAAAGTCATTCAGTTATGTCTGTTTGTATTACTAATGAGTATTAATCAAACATGAACATGAATAATACTTCCAGAGTGATGTATTGTCACTAGGGATTTCCTTTTCAAAAAGAAGATGATGGAAATAAATGCATGATTTCATTACAGAGAAGCTCTATGCTGTATAAAAGGATAATCACAGTTTGGGTGTTACATTTGTATATTAGTCCATCATTTCTATTAATCATGATAACATACTCACCAAAGTAGTGAGAACTGGTAAACACAGCAAGATCACAACAATGAAGTCAAAGGGGGAAAGTCAGACAATGTCAGTGATAATCCCTTATTGAAATATGTGCAGACAATTAACTATAACTAATTAACTAAGTTAAATTAGGTTTGGAAAGAAGAAAGAAAACCATTCCATTTATTAAGTTGTGATAACCTTTTAATTAAATGGGTAATCCTGACTTAAGTAAACCTGTGCCTGGGTTTACTGTATGTCAATAGGTTAGTAATCCTGGAAGTCATTTAATACCAAAAACCAAAAAATTCTACCACAAACACATCCATTTGCCATTTGCAAGTTCAGTTTTTTCAATCATTTAAGGGTGTGAGAATTTGGGCATATATCAAACAAAGAGCACCTTGGGAAATGCAGTTTGTGACAGCAGACTGACTTGCTTTCTGACTATGTCTCTTGCTCGATGTGGCTTCGGGGAGCTGTTTGACAAGAAGTGGCTTGTTGTACAAATACTCAGCCTCAGCTCATCTGCCAGGATGTTCAGGGTTTTATTACATTCTCACAGCAGGAGGATTTCAATGGGGCTATCAATGATTTATTTTCTAGATACAACGGAAACAAACAAATAGATCCCTCCAATGATTTACTGTAACACAGCAAAGTCTCAAATTTCCCATCATATGAGAGAACTTTATTTATTTATGTAAATGTGCGGCATCTCAGTGAGCCTCCTGGAGTAAAATGTAAACCATGTCAGATAGACCAGTGCAGGAACAGGAATGAAAAAGTATATAATAACTCTGTTCTCTGGGGACAGAAAGAAATGAAGAGTATCTTTAAGCTACACTGATATAAATAAATGCACACATACATGAGATGTAGACAGGCATTTTATTGTTTTCCATATCTGTGGCTGCACAATTTTTCTCAGTACAAACACTTTTGTAAAGTGATAAATGTCTTCATAATGCTGCGTCTGCACATGAAGTAAGAGAACAATGCGCTCCATCTGCATTCGGAAGGCGATCATAAAAACACAAGTCCTTTGTGATCTCAGCCAAACACTTTGCTGTAAACACAGCATCAACACAGCCTCACAGCAAAGCGCGTTTAACTTCTCAGCCCATGTAGGTCACCATCATAAGCAGGAAAATCACATTGATGCTACATGCGTCTTAAACTCGTTTGATAATGACCCATCTCTAGTACAATAGGAGTTAATTACATCCTCTAATGACTTCTCACACTAAGGCTAATGGCCAACAGAGATAACAGATCTCTCATTACCACTCTTCCCATATCTTGGCTGGAATGGAGGACTTATTAAACAAACTGCGCACACTTCATCATGGGGACACTTGCCACATTTAAATGGGTCCTGCTAGAAGGGGACACTAATGTATTTAAATCTGTCATGTAGCCATTAAACACACATTTTGCCACTAGTGAGGTAATTGTGCTTTTTTGTAACCAGTACTGCAATTTGTGTTGCATGCTAAGACAGCAAAGCAGTTGTCATTGAAGGTCAGAAAACTATTTAAAT